GTTTCCGCACTTGCAGATTGGGGACCGCAGATGCGATGCCGTAGATGCGAAGAAGAAGGCCGCAGAAGCGGAAAGGGCCTGGGAAGGCTGGAGCCGCAGAAGCGGCTGAGGAGCCGCACCTGCGATGGCGCAGGTGTGGGTAAGGTGTCGCAGAAGTGGAAAGTGGTCGTTTAAGTGGTTTGCGCAGAAGTGCACCTGGGACCGCAGGTGCGGATCCGCAAGTGCGAGTTTGGGACCGCAGAAACGGTTTAGCTGGGGCAGAACATATAAATTTTTCCTTCGCGATTTTTGAGCTATTCCACTATTTCCAAGTCGGTTTTTGGAGCTTTTTGGGCGATTTGAAGAAGGATTTCAAGGGGACTTCATTGAGGTAAGGATTTTGGACCTAAAAACTCGTTCCTATGGTATTATCTCACGGATTAGATCTGTAATTGATGGAATTTATGGGTTAAAATTTGGGGAAACTAGGGCTTGAAAACCTAGTCCTTTGATTGAGGATTTGAAGGACCATTTGTGGTCGGATTTTAGAACTTTTGATATGTATGAACTCGTGGGGAGATGAGGAATATATTGATGTGAATTTTATCGAATTCCAAGAAGTGGGCCCGAGGGTCGGGTTTTGGTAATTTCGGGATTTATGTTATAAATTGATTATTTTCGCTTGGCCTTCGTTCCTTTAGCATATTTTGACGTCGTGATTCTGATTTTGGATAGATTCGACGCGAGTGGAGGCCGATTCGAGGGGAAAAAGGCATCGCGGGCTAGAGTTTGGACTGGATTGAGGTGAGTAATGATTGTAAATGATGTCCTGAGGGTATGAAACCCCGGATTGCACATCGTTGTGCTATATTGAGGTGACGCACACGCTAGATGACGAGCGTGGGGTCGTGCACTATTGGGGATTGTGACTTAGTCCGTCCCGAATGACTATTTTACCGCGTATTTGACTGAAAACTATTTGCTATCATCATGTTTTGGGCTGAATACCATATTTGGGCCTCGCGCCAACTATTTGAACCGTTAGGGGATTTTTACTGATATTTCCTCAATGTTTTGACTTTATACTTGTACTCAGTCATGCTATATTCTACTATTTTCATAACTCAGCCATGTTTACTCTGCTTTAACACTTGAAATGATATTTTAAATGACATTTTGCGCTGAGCGTCATGTTTTACTGTTGCCCGAATGGCTTCTTTTTGGAGATTCTGATTGAGTAAGGCCGAGGGCCTATGTTTTGAGGAAACACCTGATTATGATTATGAGGTCGAGGGCTTGAGATTTGTACGCCACGAGGTGGTTCGTTGATATGAGTCCGAGATCCTAGTGATGATGCCACGAGATGGCTTGATATTGCGCTTGGGCCGTAAGGGGCCCCTCCAGGAGTCTGCACACCCCCACTGAGTGCGGGTACCCATTGTGATGTGAGATATAGCCCGAGGGGCTGGTGTTGTTCTGTGATATTGCCCGAGGGGCGGATTTGTTGACATTGTGCCCGAGGGGTGATCCTTTATATGTGTATCTTTTCCTATTTGCCTGTCATGTACTTGCTTAATTGTTGAAAATGCCATTTTATGACGTTTAAACTGAACTTAGTGACTTTACCCATCTTTATTGCTTCACTATTTTTACTGGCTTTTACTACTTCCTTAAAACCTGTAATATGCCTTACGTGGATTTCTTATTTCTCAGTCTTTATTTATGATTATTACTCACTGAGTTGGAGTACTCGCTTTACTCCCTGCACCCCGTGTGCAGATTCAGGCGCTTCAGGTCCCGCTAGCGAGTGTTGATCTTTCCAACTAAGGCGGATTCGGAGATTCTCTAGGTAGCTGCCGGTGTTCGCAGCCCAGAGCTTCTTCCCTTATCTTATTTTCCCTGTTTTAGTTCTGTATTAGACTATGAAGACTTTCCTTGTCTTTATTCGGTTGTAGACGCTCATGACTGGTGACACCCCGATGTCGGACTTTGTTGGGTTTTATTCTGCAAATTGTACTGTTCACTGCTTATTTTGGGATTTTATCATGTTAAAGACTTAGTTCTATTATTTCAATTGCTTAAAACTGAATTGGGAATATGTCGGTTGGCCTTGTCTTTACGAGAGGCGCCATCATGACTAGGTCCGGGTTTTGGGTCGTGACACGTCCTTAAAAACCTCCTTTTTCTTTCTTCAAGAGCATCTTTTGATAAGTTAATTATCACATCACTCCCAGGATTGCTAAGTTTCAATTCATTGGCATAGGCAACAAACTTATTATATTTATCTGTAAAACTACCTTCAAGTTTCTCCAAAATTATTTTCTTTGCCCTTTTGCACTTAGATTCACTAACATTTACATTAAATGCAGTTTTCAAGCTTGCCCCCATCTCTCTAACCTTAATTTTGGGGTTATCTTGCAAATTTTTTTTTTAAAGTAAGCAGCTATTGTATTTGCATTAACTCTTTGATTTTCAAATGCAGGTTCACATGTGTGCTCAGGCTCTAAAGTCTTGAATTTAACCCCACCCCCTGAAGAATCCTTAGATATATGGCAAACAAAGGGGCAGTCACCAACACAAATGTACCTAAGCCTTGTTGGGTCTTTTTTAACTTGCTGCAAATCATATCCATTTGCAAGAGAATACATGTTGATCATTTTCCTAGCTTCAGGTATATCTTTAAATGTCATTAACCTATCTGACTCTTTACAGTTAACTTATCATTGATGTCCCTCCTCTTTTGTAAAAAAAAGTTGTTGCAATTCATCAGAACTTAATTCAGGAGAATCGGAATCATTGCTTCAACTTCTACTGTGTGTGACTCAGTGTGAGTGACTATATTAGGTACATCAATTGCTGGTTTACACTCTTCTATAGCAAACAAATTAATAACATTACACTTTTCACAAACAAAGTCCAATAGAGTCCTAATCCCAACATCCTCATCTATTTCATAATATCTACCAGCAGGACCCTTTACTATTAATTGCTGCACCCATATATATCCAAACTTGGTATTAAATTCATCAACTAAATCAGCATAAGAGAGCAAGTCAGAGTCAAAACCTTTATTGATGTGCACATACTTCTCTTTATACATCGGACGCGACTTACTAGTCCATTCCCCACCATGATGAAAAACTAACTCAACTAGCACCATCTATAAAAGGTTGCATAGTAATCATGAATAAAGTTATTACAGGCAATCATAGTAAATGCATAAAGAAGTAACAAAGACAAGAGATACATAAATAATACATAAACGTGTAAGGGAAAGCTTGAATAAATAAAATAGTTTGATAAATAAAGGAAATAAGGAAAAGGTGCAGAGGTAGATGAATAAAGAAACAAAATTGAATGAGGTACTATGATAAAGAAACGGACACAAGCATGCATACGTGGGACATGACCACATAATAAAGTATCAAACTTAGAGTCCCATCTCAATAAAATAAGGACAAAACATATATGTAAGAGACCCACATGAGCATCATCTTCAAAGTAAATGCAGGTGAAACAGGGGACTAAATAACAACAAGTTAGCTATTAACAAATAGCTCAAATCCTTTTTTAGTTAAAGAACCCTAACCGACCCTTCTTTAAAAAATAAAAGGGACCACACATACTTGAAATCCTAAACAAGAGAAAGTTCTTCTAAAATAAGTACCAAATATCATCAATTCTACCAATATACCCTAACCGACCAATAGAATCAGACAAATAATTAGGGTATAAAGGTAAAAGTCACATTCAAACACAAAAACGACAAAAATACAATCAAAGAAAAATCCTAAACGACAAATCACATATCTGAGACAAGAAAAACCCTAAACCATGAAGCATAGTCTAAAAACCCTAACTTTAACATAAAAGAAATGCGAACCCTAATACAAAAAAGCTTCATTTGTAAACAACAAGCATATGAAGCTAGTAGAAAAGTTCAGTTTTTGGGGAAAAATCTTACCTTGGGCAGCATTCAACACTGAAAAATGAGAATTTTCTTTGGAACCTTCCACACTCTTCCCTCTCGTTTCTATCGAACAGATGTAGACCAAATGACCCGCTTTCTTAATTTGGACGGTTCTATCTTATTTATTTAGTGGGCAAACGGGTCACGGATCACGGATGGGAGACGTGAAAGAAATGGGTGTTCAGGGATTTTAATTTGGTAAGACCGCTGCCATGGCAGCTAACTTGGATAAAATTGATGTGGTCAGCTGCCAGAGTGTCAAAACGTTAGGGTTAGGGATAGTTTTTCAAACTTCACTAACGGCAGGGACGAGAATGGCCGAAAAGTGTAACGGGTGGCACAAGTAACCAATAAAGCATAGTAGAAGGGCAATTTTGACCCTTTTCCCTTTTAATAATGTATTGAGGTCAGTTAAGTTACTATCCCGTTAGTAAATATTTCAAAATATTTCAAAATATATTTTTAAAGATAAAAAGGCGAATGATGTTTTTCACGAGTTACACGTGCACGCCACCTTGAAGAATATACTCTTAGAAAAATTATATAAATTTTACGTTAAAAATATGGTTGAATTATAAAATAAAAGTTTAAGCTCCTAAAATAGATGAATGTTGATTCTATATGACTATCTCAATAAAAAAAGAAACTTTGCCTCGTAGAAGTCCTCAATTATCTTCCATATATTCAACTTAAATTAAGTTTCAATTCTACAATTTCATCACCTCATTTTCATAAGCTATCATACTTTATTTTCAGTTCAGCAAGAACTGTAGCCAATACATGTACTGTTATCTCTCACCTAGACACTGGTAACAACTTGAATACTAACCTTGAAGAAACAACAAAAAATATACAAATAATGAATAGAAGAATGAATAATTACCATGATACTCAAATATTGAGGACACCCAAGTTAAGGATAGTTTGACTATCTCACAATAAATTTTTAACCAAAATAAATACAATTTTGTTTCCATCTTTACATACTGATTCTGCATTTTAGTAAGACATATGGGATTTAAGATCTACTGAGATTAAACGGAAAGTGAAACTTGAAATATTAAAGAAGGAAAATACAATGAAAGAAAGAAAAATAGAGAATCTGCAGGAAGAATTCAAAATTTGTCTAATGTACTGTATCTAAAACTTATAGTTCCCCTTAGAAAGCATTGCCTAATTTAGGGAAAGAAAATATGCTCTAGTAAGAAGATAGTCCTTTACAACAATCCAAACACTAGCAACATATAGAATGAATCTATCACAAGCGATGGTTTATTCTAAAACCCTGTTTAATTCATTTCCCCACGTCCTTGAGAGGAGAGCCGGCCTCTTTGATGGTTGATGACATCAAATTGACCGATACTATCCCTTTATCTGCTATGGATGTAAGGTCATAGACTGTGTACCCGCATAGAAATAGACCGGTGAATGGACATCCTATGGTTGTCCAGAAGTCCCTCCCTCTAGGATCAAAGGGGATCCTAGGAAGTAACCCAATATTATCATGTTGTGCGACTTTGCGGGTCACTATTGTATACTCCTCCTCCGACATGCCAGGGACGGGCTGTACCATGAGAAAGACTAAAGGGTCAAACATATTCTCCTGCAACTTCAAATCCGCAGCTGTGCATAATCGAATACATGGCACATGTTTTCGTGTTGAAGTCCCTACTTATGTTAAAGTTCCTATTGTGGGGAATGCCCCTGTTGTGGTGCCATCCGCTTGGACTTCATTACTAATAGTAGACGACACCATTAGACAACGAGAGGCATACAGATTTGCCCCTATTGTGTTGAAGGGCTGGTTTTCTTTGATCTTGAAAACCCGAGTAGAGCAGGATACAGTAGCAAGTTGAAGCTATATTTTAGTTTTGAAGTACCTTTCTTAGGAACATCTCCGTCTGTTGGTACTCTTTTGTATCTTGCTGTAAAAGAAGAAACACAATATTATACAACATCAGAAACTCTGGAAATAAAAGAATGTCAATCAAACTTAGAGTAGCCCTTTATGGATAATAACACGAGTTGTTGTTTTTTCAGATCACCTTATTCGTGTGCATCATCAAGCCATTGCATTTGAATTTTTTCATGTCCCCAGCATTGATTCCATGAGAGATCACTGCATAAATAACCCACCATGTTAAATAAACTTGGATGATTCTACTTTAAATCCTTAGGGGAAATTCATCAAATCAATTTTACATATAAAAATGAGGATACTGTGTATGTAGCTTCGAACAAGTTGCAATGCTAGTCCCTGGAGTAGGATTATTTTGTTAGCTTATCAACACAAATATTAGATTCATTGGTTAAATCTATGATTTGAATCTAAAATTTCGAGATTACATACATGATAAACACGTTTAGCAAGTTGAATTTTGTTAACAATGTTACCTCCGGTTCGGGTAATACTTTTGTGAATCTTCTTGTTACCTCCGGTTCGGGTTAATGCAGTCTTCAGTGGAAGCTGTTTGGAAATTCAGTATATGAATAAATTGAGAAACAATCGACAATATTATACATAACAAAATCATTCAATTCACGGGAAAACAGATGTAATGCATTCCGCATTTGATTAAAATGCGCAGATATAAAGAATATCAGAATCAATCGGCAATAATAACATTTAAGATAGTAGAAATAAACTATCTATGTACTATATGCAATTATCATAATCGTTTCAATTCAAAAAGAGAGAAACAGATAAAATGCCTTCCGCATTTGGATAAAATGCTGGAACAGAACATACTAGATATTTCAATTCTACTGTAGCGTAAACTTTAACAAATTGCTAATCTATCGATAATATTAATAACAACCATGATAGTACATAGTATTAATAAAGCTATGAAAAATCTAATTCCAAATCGATTCAGTTAACAGGGAGAAATAGATAAATACTAAAATGCGCACAAAAATAGAGAAAAGATTTCAGTTCAGTTGTGTGTAGCGTACCTTCTTGCAATGATGCTTCTGTTCGATATCAATTTCCTCTTTGTCAATATTATGTGATAAGATGTTTACAATCATCTTCAGTTTCTTCCCTATTTTCTGTCGGAGTTCCGACGGATCCAATTTTCCAGCAATTGTAATCTTGTACACAGTTGCAATTTGCTCTATCTTCAACCATGAATTAAGCCCTATTCAACAGAAATTAGGAAAAGAAAAGTCCATAATCAAATCAAGAAAGAAGCAAAATTCTTAAATTCTAAAATTATCGGATACCATACAAATCGGGAACACATTTGAGAACTTTTTTGGTGCAATCTTCACAAGAACAATGCATGTCAATTTGGAGTATTGCAGTAACATCTTTCCAACCTTTCACAAAGTTATGATGGGCGGAAAAAATGAAAAATTACATGTTCACAAATTATGTTGGACCGTTCATAACTTTCACAAAGTTATGCTGAGCAGAAGAATAAAAAATTATGTGTTTACAAGTTATGCCGGAGGGACCATAATCTTGATACAAATAATCCTCTGTGTTGGAGAATTTTCACATCTTTTTTTTTTTTTTTTTTTTTTGGTATTGAGAATTTTAACATTTATACTATTTCTTTTATATAATGTTTGGATAGACTGTCGTTGTTATAGTTTAATAATATTTTTATTGTTTGGTTGAATATATGATACTGTAAAATAACATGTAAGTTTACTAAAATTCCTTTAACTTATAATTACATTTATCTATATCTATATCTATATCATATTATCTATATTCTATATCTATCTATCTATCTATCTATATCTATATCTATCTATCTATCTATCTATCTATCTATCTATATATATCTATATTATTATAAAAGCATGAATAATATCTGCTAAATGTTAACGGCTAAAATATCCTTGAAATATTGACCGATTTTTATGCCCTTAAGTATTTGTATAATTTAAGGATTTAATTGTAAATAACCTAATGATGGAATCCTTTTCCAAAATAAATTACACATATGTCGACCCTACAAAGTTGATCCTATTGGTCATCTATTATGTTTGGAAAAGAATAATTTCACTTTTAAAGGATACTGTCCTAATCAACGAAAAAATTCAATTTGGACAAAATTGTATTATAGTATTTTTTTTTATTCTACCTATTGCTAGGAGTTTGAAATCAAATTGAATATGTTCGTTGATTACGAGAATATTGATTCTGACTCTTGTTCGAAGAGTCTCTCAAAAGGAGAAGTTACACGGAATTAAAAGAAATTCTCCATTACAAGTTTTGAATCCTTTTGGTACACAATCAAACACATTTCATCCATCTAAAATATGTTTTTACATAATGACGGCTTTACTTAACAAGCTCAATATATATAGACCACGCCACAAGATTTTAAAAGCCTGACCTTTGTTATTAGTGGATATCAATTATCTCTAATATTTTTATTAGATTCTATTTTTTCCTTAATTCTGCATATCTTGTATGATGTATCCAGATTTTATGTCGAATTATGTTCTCCTTTTATACCGTATGCATTTTAAGTCTTTAATATATACTTACTTAACTTCCTGTTGTTATTTTATTTGCAGTGAACACCACCATATATATTAAGTGAACCGCCTTCTTGAATTTTGTAGAAAAGGTTCTTTAGCATAAAGGAAATGACTGGTTAAGGTGATAATTTTTTTTAACCAATTTATTTTCTCGTCTTCCTTTCAATCAACCTGTCTTCTATAGTTTTTTGTTGTTACCTTATCTTTAATGATTCAATTTGACGGTAGATCAACTTGAAGCTATTTTTTTGTATTCATGAAACTTCAAGTATGGTGGAGTTTTAGATTTGCACGAGCAAGTATTATTGTGGATGAAACACAGAAAATACGCGTGCTTTTTAACTAGAGATTGGATTAATTAGAATTGGAGTTGAATTTAAAGATTGCACTGGTCGGTATTGGAGTTAAGTAAAATTATTTTCTAGCGGTAACAATTTTCTTTTGAATATTTATATAGTTAAGAATTTATATTTTGATTAAATATAACTTTCGTAATAATTAATGTAGGATAACGTGCAACACAACAGGAAAAATAATGCGAAAGAAGGTATGAATTACTAAATGACTTTCTATCTTTGATTTTTTTTTTGTTACTAATATATCTTGAGTAAATATGATTTTTATACATCCGAACCATTAAGGCTTAATTAAATAAAAGAAAATTATGGAATCAGAAAATTAATATTAGGTATTGTTGCATTCTATAAGTGATTTTACAAATTAATATTAGTTCTTTTTTGTCCTTTTATTGTGCCAAAATATTATTAATTTGTTGGTTTGTATTATATATTATGTTTTTTTTTGTTCTTAGGAACAGATTATTAAACTTTGTACATATTGCATTTCGTACATATTCAGTTGCAATTAGTTTTAGAATATTATGCGATTGAAAGTTTATTATTTTTTGTATGCTTTTCATAATATTTGACATAAATTATTCGTGCATCGCACGAACGTAGAGACTAGTTATATTAAAAGCGTGAAAGCCTATAGCGAAATGTCGTTCGCCTTTTTTACCCTTTAAAAATATATCTCACACTAGAATAAATAGACATTTAATTATTTTCCTATTATTAGGAATAATTATTTTTCTAATATTTCAGAATTCGAAATAAACTAAATTTTATGTATTACTTTTTTCCTTATTTGATCTATGTAATTTAACAGATTTGTAAAAGAAATCTTAATATCAGTTTTAACCGATTAAATCTCTAGATATTTTAGGTAAAAGTTTTGAGTACTCCAATACTTAAGTTAAGGGCTCTTTATGCAGAGGAAAAAAAAGATCGAAATTTAGGTATAAGTTGATATGGTAATTAATTGTATGGGCAGCAATTAATGCTATACATCTATTGATTAAACACAACGTCCTAATTATATTAGGTCAAAATTTCCATAACTTTTCAACTCCTTTTAGGTCTAGGGGAATTGTTTTTTAAGTTGCTGAGTTAGTTGCATGATTGCGTTCAGTCTTTCTTGAGGGTTTCCCCCTCTGTTCATATTCCAATTCGCCTTCACGTGTAGGTACTTCATCGTTCCTCAAATCTTCTACTTTTAAAGTATATCTAATTTGTTTTGATTTTATTTTGTCTTTTTGCGTTTTACTTTAGATTTGTCGTTAATAATTTATTGTGTCTTGAAAACAAACTAATTATGTTCTTTAATGTCCAAACAGATACGTGTTGAAATTATTTGTTCATGACTACAAAAAAGGTGGTAATATATTGGGTAACAAGGTAGTTGTGCTATGAAAAATAGTGTAACGATCCGACCGGTCGTTTTGAGCCCTAGCGCATCGTTCAGCAGTCTGAGTTCATGAGCAGCTTCATTTCAGGTATTATGACTTGTACGCGCAGTCGGAATTGAATTTCGGGAAGTCCAGAGTTGATTTGGAAAGAGAATTCTCATTGTGGAAGCTTAAAGTTGAAAGAATGAACTAGGAATGGAATTTTGAGTAAACGACCTCGGAATCAGGATCCGAAGGTTCCAGCAGGTTCGTATGATGATTTTGGACTTGGGCGTATGCCCGGTTCGGGTTTTGGATAACCCGGGAGCGTTTTGGCGCCTATTGTGAAAGTTAGCATTTTGGAAGAAATTTCTTAAGTTTGGCTTGAAGTGCATTTCAGTGTTATCGTTGTCCGTTTGGGATTTCGAGTTTGGGAATAGCTCCGTATGGTGATTCTGGAGTTGGGAGCGCGATCGGAAGTGAATTCGGAAGTCCGTAGGTCGTTTTGGAGCCATTTGGCTAAAGATAGAAATATGAAGGTTTTTGAGAGGTTTGACAGGAAGTGGACTTTTTGATATCGGGGTCGGAATCCGATTCCGAAAGCTGGAGTAGATCCGTAACGTCAAATATGGCTTGTGTGCAAAATTTGAGGTCAATCGGACGTGATTTGATAGGTTTAAACATCGAAAATAGAAGTGTGAATTTTTGAAGTTCATTAAGTTTGGATTGGAGGTCGATTCATGATTTTAGCGTTGTTTGATGTGATTTGAGGCCTCGAGCGAGTCCGTAATGTATTTTGGGATTGGTTGGTATGTTTGGTTGGGGTCCCAGGGGCCCCGGGTGAATTCCGGGTGGTTAACAGATCAAAAAATGGAATTTTTGAAGGGCTAAGGTTGCTGGTTGCTGTCATAACCGCACCTGCGAAAAATGGGCCGCAGGTGCGGAGCCGCAGATGCGGTTTGGACCAAAGTGAAGGGGGCCGTAGATGCGGTCGAGGAGCTGCAGATGCGGAGCCGCATCTGCGGTAGAGGGGTCGCAGAAGCGGAAATAAGGGGGGCCTGGAAGGACCGCAGATGCGGTAGAGCGGCCGCACCTGCGGAACCGCAGAAGCGGTCAATAGACTGCAGGTGCGAAAAGTGCTGGGGCAGAAGGGTTGTTTAAAGTCGGGATTTTTGCCATCTTCTCTCATATTTTCATGGCTTGGGGCGATTTTTGGAGAGCTTCAAGGAGGGATTTCGTCATCTATATTAAGGTAAGTTACTCCTACTCATTTCCAAGTTAAATACAAGATTATATCATGGAATTAGACATGAAAATTGTGGGAAAATTGAGATTTTTGGAAGAAAACCTAGAAACTTGATAAATTAGATTTTTACCACGAATTTGAGCATGGAATTAGGAGTAAATTATATATTTGAGCTAGCGAAGCTATGGGTAATCTTTATCTTCAAAAAATTTCGGATTCCGGGCACGTGGGCCCGAGAGCGTTTTGGTCAACTTTTCGATCGGAGTTAGGAATTGCTATAAATTAGTTTGTAATGAATGTTTGACATATATTAATGGATTTGCGTAACCGTTGGCTAGTTTTGGCGCATGGTGCATCAATTGGAGTCCCCGGAAGGGCGTGGATTGCCGGTTATGGATCTTCGGAGCAAGGTGAGTCTCCTTTCTAACCTTGTAAGAGGGAATTTGTCCCCATAGGTGAAATAATTAATTATGTGCTCCTATTTGCGGGGGCTACGTACGCACGCACGAGGTGACGAGAGTCCGTGCATAGCTACTATTATGCTATTGTCCGGGTAGTTAGGGCCCAAAAGCATGTTATACCTGGATTATTTATGAACCCATTGATAGCTTGAATTGCTTAAATCACCTTGGATTAGTAAATGAATTTAAAAGGAGGTTAAACATCATTTTTCCTGAATTGTTAAAAAGAGAAATTATTTTATTTGGATAAATATTCCCGATAAGTTCTTAATTGACTGATTGAGCATGTATCCCTATGTGTACCTGCATCGCATGCATGATTCGCAAGCAGGGTGTGTGTTTATTTATGGAACGGACCGAACGCCTCGGCAGATTAAATAGATGCATCTATGGTTCGTGCCGTTAGACCCTCGGCAGTGCACAATTTACATTTCTGTTGGAGCGGGCCGTCGACCTCGGCATGATTTGCGCATGACATATATATTGTTTCCCGAAAATTTTAAAT